ATGATAATGCTGTTGTAACTTGTTTTTTTGAACACCATGTAATTGCACCTGATCCAAGACTGAAAATATTGCCTGAAGTGCTCATTCTCTCATCCAAAGAACCTGCCCAATCGTTATCAGTAAAACCAAATAGTCTAAAATTTGAAACATGAGTATACCAAATTCCATAATCCAATGTTCTAGCAACATAACGTAAGATCCTTTTTGCTGCTCCAAAATGATGATTTGAAGGATTACTCATAAACCTTGAGATAACACCCATAGAGAATGAAATATCTGGCCGATATGAGCCAAATAAATCAAACCTCCAACTAAACTTCTAAAACTTCTTGCAATTGCTTTTTCAGTACCATCTTCAAATTGCAATTTTTCATTCACATTCATTGGTGTGGCTACAGCCTTGCAATTCACCATATTAAATTTTTTGAGCAGGTCTATTGCATATTTCCTTTGTGAAATAAAAACTTCATCTTCTCCTTGCTTCACTTCAAGCCCAAGGAAATAATGTAACAAACCTAAGTCTGGCATTTCAAACATAATCTTCATACTTGATTTGAATTCAGCTATAAGAGAGTGAGTTGAGCCCATGTAAATTATATCATCAACATAGAGCCAGACTATAAGAAGATCATTCTTACCTTACTTCTTGAAGTAAAGTGTAGGCTCATTTTCACTCCTTTCGAACCCATTTTGTAGAAAATATGAATCAATCTTGCTATACCATACTCGTGGAGTCTGCTTTAACCTGTAGAGTGCCTTTCTTAGTTTGTACACCTTTTTCTCTTTGCCGTTGACTACAAAACCATCAGGTTGAGTAACACAGACCTCTTTTTCCAATTCACCATTCAAAAAGGCAGACTTTACATCAAATTGATAAATAGGCCATTGCAGTTGTGCAGTCAAGGCCAAAATTGTTCTCACGGTTTCAAATCGAGCAACATGAGAAATTGTCTCTTCGTAATCAATACCATCCTACTGTGAGTATTTCTTTGCTACTAGTCTAGCCTTGTGCCTTTGTATACTTCCATCTGCATGCTACTTTGTTTTGAAAATCCATTTCAAGCCAATAGAACTTTTTCCATTAGGCAAGTCTATCAACTCCCAAAGTTTCATTTATTTGTATTGCAATGAGTTCTTCCTTCATTGCATCTTGCCACTGATGGAATAATGTCAACAAAGTGGAAGAGAAAGACTTGTATTTAGGATGAAAAATAACTAGCTACAGCACAGTTCGACTGGTTCCAAACATATATATATTACAATAGTTTTCTACCATGTTTCTAGTCAACAACTACCACCT